GCCACAGCGGCGCGGGCAGGGCGGGCACACCCGGGGACGACGCCGCTGGCCGCCGCAGCCGGGCCTCGCGGGGTGCTCGGGCGCGAGAGCAGCCGCCACGCCCCTGCCGCGCCCGGCGGCGCGGCTGCGAGGGTGCCCGTGGCCGCCCTGGCCGCCGCCCCGCCCTGGCCGCGAGAGGCGCCGGCGCCGAGGGCGCCTGCCCTGCAGGCGCCGGTCTCCGTGTGCCTGCCCGCGCGGGCGCTGGCGAGCAGCGCCGTGGGGCGCCCCAGCGGCGCCGCGGGCGCAGCGGTGCGCCCCGGGCCGGCCCCGCCAGGCGGCACCTCGCCCCCGGCGCGCGGCCTCCGCGAGGCGCGGCCGCAGGCGCGCACGCTGCGGCTGAGCGCGAGCCTGCCGCCCGCCGCGCCGGCGCCGCGCGGGGCGGAGGCCAGCTGCCCGCCCGCTGGCGGGCCCGAGGGGCCGGCAGTCGCCCCTGCCGGAGAAGCGAAGATGAAAAACGGCGTAAACATAGACTGTCGGCGCTCCGCGCGGATTTCTTGGATCCGCGCTGCCCCCCTTCCCCGGCGGCGCCTCCGGCGCCGCCCAGGGAGGAGGGGGGGTCCAGCGCAGGTCCAGGAACTCCGCGCGGCTCCGAAAGCTTGTGTTTGCATGCCACTTCTTTCCTCTTCCCAGAGAAGCTGGCAGCCCCAGCGGCGGCGAGGGCGGCGCCTGCGACGTCAGCTTCCTGGCCCCCGCGCCAGTGGTGTACGCCACGCCGGCGTTCGGCACGGCCACGGTGGCCTGCGTGGCGGGGGCCGCGGCCCAAGCGCCGGGCGCCGCGGCCAAGAGCCCCGAGGCGGGAACGCCGCCCGCGGCCACGGCGCGGGTCATCCTGCGCGCGCCCACGCCGTCGCGGGCGCTGCCGCACGCGAGCAGCGGCGCTGTGCTCGCGGGCGCCGCGGCCTCGCGGGCCGCGGGCGGGACGGTGGCGAGCGCGTGACGGCCTGGCTGCGGGCAGCGGCCCCGCCTGAGGAGCTGAGCGAATTGGCACAGCGCGCAAGCGCGCGCGTGCGCCCCCCTCCGCGTTGATCCCAGCTTTGGCAGCAAGAGAAAGGCAGCGGCCTTGCTGGAGGCGGGTGGGGGACTGGGCTAGAGAGCGGTGGCGCCAAACAGACATGAGTTTCGCGCGTCGCTACTAGCAGCGGTTGTTTTCTTATTCATTGTTTTACCGATCGGCGTAGGCCCTCGCCCCCCCCTCCTTCTCCCACCCCCTGAGTAGATCCTGGCTGTTATTTTGCGCCTGTTTCAAGCAGGTGGAGGCCCGCCGACAGGACGCACTGTTGCGGAACAGTCGCATTGAGCAGAGGTCCGGAGCCAGACCCCCCCCTCCCCCCACCGCCCGCCCAGTGTCGAAACGCCGAAGAAGAAATCCGCCGAATAAGAAAACGTTGACGGACCGTTTCTGGATTGGCGTGGGGCCACCCTTGGTCGGCGCCACCACGGGCACGCTCTTTGCGCGCTGGGGAGTGGGTGCGGAGAGGGGGTCGGACAAAAGATCAGTGGGCGACCGTCCAAGCTGCGTGCTCGTGTGGCTCTTTCTAGTTCTCTTCATCAGGGGGCGGGGGGGGGGGGCCTGAGCCCAGTCTTCGAAGGTTGCATTTTGGATGAGGGCAACGCCCGTGTCCAGGGCCGGGCCCCACGGGAGCCCCCCCCACGACGAGCGACCGGGAGAGCCCACACCCTGACGCCCGCAGGCGGCGTGGGAGACGCACAGATCTTGGCCGGGAGTCGGTCCAGGGGCGCTCGTCGTCCGCGGCGAGGGGCCGTTGCTTCCGGGCGCCCGAGATTAATTACGAACGGTCTCGGGTGCGATGTTGTCGAGTCCCCATGGGTGTCGGGGTCTTCGTCGTCGTCGTCATCATTCTCGTCGTCGCCATTCTCGTCGTAGTCGTCCTCGTCCTCGTTTTCCACGTCGTCCTGATCGTCGTCGTCGTCGTCGTCGTCGTCGTCAGCGTCGTCCACGTGAAGGGGGGGGCGTTTCGACTACAAGTTCTAGAGGCGGGCCTGGCCGTTGCCACGGGGGCGGCCCCCCGTTTTGCCCCGGTAAGCGGGAGCATGAGCAGCAGCGAGGCCGTCGATTCTTGTTTCACGTGAGGACCGCCTCCCCCACTCATTCTCTTCTCCTCGAACCATCCGCGTATCTAAAACATCTGGAGAACAGCCGCTGCATCTTGTGCCGCCGAGGAACCCACTGCTTGCCTATCGACGCACATGGTGAAAGCTCTTTCATTCCTCCCGTAACCATGACGGCCTCTTCGGCTTGTTCTTCCTCGCAGGTCCCGAGAAGCTCAGGGGTGGCGACGGGAGTAATACTCGTATCGCTACGCGATCAGGCAGGGTCTCCCGAGTTCAGGAGGGGGAAAAAAACAAGCAGACACATGTCATCGTCGATTCCCAGGAAAATGTCGAAACACATGGGAAGCGGGGTGGAAGACGGAAGCCTAGAAAAGGAATATTATATATATATATATATAAAGTGAGAGAGAGAGAGAGAGAGATGGAATCCTGGGATTTGTGCGTCTGTATGTGTGCGTGTCCCTGGGCCCCTTTCAGAGTTCCCCCCCCCTCGGAGGCACAGCGCGATGCGGTCTGTCTGTCTCGCGGCCGCCCTCGTCTTCTCTGCTTCCTCTTGCATGCCGGACAATTCGCCTTCCGTTCGCCCCGATTAGCCACACGTTGGTGCGGGCCGCCTCTGCCTCGCCGCCGACGGGAAAGAGTCTGCCTGTCTGTCTGTCTGCCTGTCTGTCGGTCGGTCTGTCGGTCTGTCGAGTCGGTCTGTTTGTCTGTCGAGTCGCCAGAGGTCTGGGCTGTGCGTCTGGGCGGGGAGATTTCTCGGGAGGAGATGCGCCCGCCTCGGGGGCCGCGAGCAGGGCACGACGCACGGTCTTTGGCTCCCGTTTCGGGGCTCCGTTCCCTCGCCGGGCCCCAACGGGTCGAGACCTCTGGGGGTCCGCGCCGTGGAGAAGTCGCGACGTCGGGACGCCGAGGGGACTGGCAGGGCCTTGTGACGGGCAGGCGGAGGAGGAGGAGGAGGAGGGAGGAGGAGGGAGGAGGAGGAGGCGGAGGAGAGAGGAGGAGGAGGAGGAGGTTGAGATTGAGGAGGGGAAGAGGAGGAGGAGGAGAAGGTTGAGGCTGAGGTTGGGGAGGAAGAGGAGGAGGAGGAGGAGGAGGAGGAGGAGGAGGAGGAGGAGGAGGGGCGGGGCCTCTCGGGAGGGCAGCCGCCGCGGCTCTCCCCGAATTTCGGCGAGAGCTGCGCGAGAGAGAGGCGCGGGGAGGCTGCCGTGCCCTCGGTCCTGCTGCTGCTGCTGCTGCTGCTGCTGCTGCTGCTGTCCGGCGACGACGACAACGACGACGATCGTCATCGTCGTCGTCGTCGTCGCTGCTGCTTCTCCTCTGATGTCTCTCACAGGTGGGCAATGCCTGGTCCCAGACGTGCTCGCACCGTGGGGAACAGATACACACGGCGTGGGTGCTGTTGGCCGTCTTTGGGGAGCCCTGGGGTATGGCCTCGCTGTGGGCCCTGGGGCCGTCGACAAAGACGCGAGCTTTTCGGGAGGAGGCCCTGGCCCCAGGAGAAGAGACGGTCGGGACTCCGCGGGGCCGCGCCGGGAGGACGTCCCAGACATCGCAGGAGGGGAAAAAACGCACAGACACAATGAATCGTCGATTCCAACGAAACTATTGGAAAATATGAGAATTGGGCGGGAGGACAAAAACCAAGAACATATGGGAACATATGGGGAATGGTTTCTGTGTGTATATTTATTTGTGTGTCCCAGGGCCCCTTCAACATCGCACGTCTGGGTCTGCTGCCCTGCTCTGCGGTGCCGGCGGGGCCTGCTCGGGGCAGCCCCCCCCGGGGGGGGGGGAAGGCGCGCGGACGTCTCCCGCCACTCGGCGGGCCTGCGTCTCGCCCCCCGCTCCGGGGCAGCCCCCCTGGGGGGGGGGAGCGCGGACGCCTCCCGCCCCTCGGCGGGCCTGCGTCTCGCCCCCCGCTCTCGGGGCGTCCGTCCTCTTTCTCCTCCTCCTCCTCTCGCTCTCGCCTTTTCTCTCTTTCTCTCTCTCTCTCTCTCGCTCGCATCCCGAGCTGCTGCCAAGCTCGCTCCGCCCGTGGGGCCGAAGGCGCCCCTCCTCCTCCTCCTCCTCCTCCTCCTCCTCCTCCTACTCCTCCTCCATGCTCTCCTCCCTCTTCCCAGGCAGTTTTTTCGCAAGCCTGTCCGCCGTGGGTCGAACCTCGTGGCAGATAACCACTCCGACCTCTCCTCCTCCGCGAAGAGGGAGATCTCGTGCCGGGCGAGCTATCTTCAGGAAGTCCAGACTAACCCGCAAGGGCGGGCACTACTCTATCCTTCATCGTCAACCTGAGTTGAGGCTTGGGTTCAGGCCGCCTGTCAAACAAAACAACTCCCGTGTGCCCTTTCTGAGGCCGTCACCCTCCCTCCGCCCCGCCCTGCTAGGCATGGAGCCCTGCTGCGTGCCCGATGTCTGCCTGCGTCTGGGCGGGCACTGCTGCTCGCTCCTCCTCCTCCTCCCTCTCTACTGGGGTGCTCGTCGGCGTCTTGTCCGCTCTGCTTCCCTCCTCCCTTCCCCTCCGCTTCTTCGATGCGGACGGTGAGCCTTCACCCTGCTTGCACAGCAGGGCTCGACCTAAGCGGTGTTTTGGCGGCATCGTGGACCGTTGTCGTTTTGATTTCGTTTTGCAGCAGAAGCAGAACGATGACAGCACGAGGGGAAAACGAACACATAACGAAAACGGAGAACATTGTTTAGATCGAGCCCTGTTGCATATAGTCCGTCAGAGTCGGGAGCCGTGCGAGGGCTCTGCGCCAGCGACGCGCTGACGTTGTCTCGAAGGCGAGATGCTGCCGACGTGGGCGTTACCTGCGGGGCTGCCGCGTCGGGCACTGGATCTTCCCCGCCCCTCGTCCGTCGACGCCCCGCCCGCCCCGATCTCTGCACCGTAGGCCGCCGGCCTCGCTTCCCGGGCGGCCTGCGGGGCATGACGGGCGCTGCTGGCCCGCTGCTGGGCCGGCGCCCCGCAGGGGAGGATCGGGTCGGCCGGCCGGCCGGCCTGCGAGGAGGAAAGGACGCCGATGCCGTTGGGTGGACTCTTCTCGAAATTCTCGTCTCGGGGAGCCAGGGGTCCTGGGAGCAGGGGTCCTGGGAGCAGGGGTCTCGGTGCCCTCTTCTTTCTTGTTATTTTCCTGAGCGCACCTGCGCAGGAGCCTCCTCATCCTCATCTCCTCTCTCCCTTTCGAGCTGCTCGTCATCATCACCGTCCTTCTCCCCCGCACCTTCCTCCTCATCATCACCATCAAAGCTATTATCGCCATCATCATCATCATCATCATCATCATCATCATCATCATCATCATCATCATCATCATCATCACCATCATCATCATTATCTTCATCATCATCATCGACATCATCATCAGCATCATCATCATCCACGGCATCATCAGCATCATCATCAGCATCATCATCATCCACGGCATCATCAACATCATCATCGGCATCAGCATCACCATCATCAGCAGCATCATGATCATCAACAACATCATCATCCTCAGCATGATCATCATATGTTTCATCATCATCAGCATCACCACTTTCAGTTTTATCATCATCAGCATCATCAGCACCACCAGCATCAGCATCATTACCACCATTATCATCATCATTATCAGAATCGTCATCATCAGCATCATCATTGTCATCGTTGTCGTCATCATTGGGGCAGTGCTGGGCCGCCTGGGGGATGTCTTTGGCCCCTCATAGATCTACTGTATGCCAGCCTCTCGCTGTTGGGCTCCTCGAAGACCCTCGTGGATACAGCCTGGGCCGAGTTGGTAAGGAAACGCAGGCGTCCGAACGCGGAAGGATCCCGCTGATTTTTGGATTGGTGTGGGCCTTCTGGGATAGCCTATGGGCCATCTCCTCGATGCGTTGGAAACCTCTAGGCATCTGTTTGGCTCTCATTGGGGTCTCCTTGTGGCCTCTCCAGTGGTTAGTGAAGCAATCTTGGGTCATCTTGACGGCATGGGTGGCCGTCCTGGGCCGTCTTGAATTTTTTTGGAGATTATTAGCCCCAGAGGAGGCGTCCCGCCGAAGGAGCCTCGGGAGGGGGGGATCGATGCACGCTGGTGGATACGTCGAGAGGGGATGTGGGGGGGTGGGGCGGGGGCTTATAATCGGTACGTGAACCGTACCATGCAGCGCTTTGCATGTTCGACCTTTCAGCATGCCAGGGGGCAAGTTGAGGAGCTACGCGGTAAAAGCTTCGCGCTATGTGGTGCGAGGCGCACGCGCAGCATGCAACATGATGCAATATATGATGCATGCGCAGTGCGAGCTATGGGGTGCAGGCTACGTGTTGTAAACACTGTGGTGCAAGTTTTGTTTAGTGCACGCTATGCCGTGCAGGATGTGTGGTGCAAGCTCTTTGGTGCAGGCAGTATGGCGTGAGCTCTTTGCTGCCGTCGAGACGCCCACGAGGCGCCCACAGCCGCCGACCAGGCAAAAAACCTCGACACACACGAGACGCCCACCAGACGCAACCCCAGACCCCCGACGTCATGATTCTCTCGTGACGCGACCCCCAGAGGTCTGGAGCCACCCCCTGGGACCGGTCTTTCGTCCCGAGTCTTCTCTTGACGGTCTCGAGGGCCAGTGACCTGGCATCGCTCGGACGTGTGCATTTGTCCTTCGGCGAGGACCATCGAGGAGCACCCTTGGTCATTTGGCGAAGAAACCACGCACGGAATCAGAACAAGAGCAGGGAACGGACGTCCGAGCGATGGCCAGGCGAGGGCCCTCTGGGAGGCCGAAGGTAGCGAAGAACCTCCCGTCCTCATTTTTGCTTTCCTGGCTCGCGGGGGCCTCGGGCCTCGACGCCCCGCCCCCGGCGCACGGGGGGCGCGCCCAGGCGGCGCGGCGGAGGGATCTGTTTGGCCTCGGGAGCGGGGGGAGCCGGGCAGTCTGCCTCCGGGAGCGGGGGAGCGGGGGGTTATGTTTGCCTTCGGGGAGCGGGGGAGCGAGGGATGGATTGCCTTCGGGGAGCCTTCGGGAGCGGGGGAGCGGGGGAGCGGGGTGGTTTGCCCTCGGGGGACGATTCGCCTTCGGAAGGCCACCCGCGCACTCGATGGCAGAGGCTCCGTTGTTGGGCGAGGGAGCTGCCCGTTGCGAGCGCACGTTGGGGGCGCTCGCCGCGGCCCCCTCGGAGAGGCCCGCGGCGGCCGGTGGTGGCGTCTGTCGGCATGCCTGGCCAGGGCCAGCGTGGGCCCCGGGAGGGTGTATAGGCAATCTTGGCTTCGAGCAGCGGAAGCAAAGGTTGGCACGGAAAGCCACGCCAGGGAGATCCCTCCCACGTCTCCCACGCGTCAGGCAGTGGCGAGGCGTCCCGGCTGGCCTGGTTAGGGCCCACCAGAGAATGTTGGAAGAACCTTCATGTGTGGTCTGCAAGGGATGTTTTTGGAACGTTTCTGGCTGGGACCGTCTTGTGTTAGTCCCATGTTCTAAGAACATTCTTCTTGCTCCAAGGACAATTTTTGGGTTCGGTGGGCCTATAGGAATCCTGGGACGGTCGGTCCCTGCTCAAACTTGAGGGATGGGATTTTGGAGGGCCCCCCCAAAACAGCACCCAGGCACCTCCTCCCGAGGGTGTTTTGTTGTTTAGGGGGGGGGCTCCATGGCCCCCCCCCCCCGTGATAGGGGGGTTGGGAGGGTGTCCGTTTGAGGGGCTGCGTTTCCAATCTTTCTACGTTTGCGTCGTGCCAGCCCTGACCCACACACACAGTTCAGGCAGGGCATCGGCGTGCAACGGGTGTTACGTTCAAGCTCCGTCCTGTTGCGCTGCCGCGTTGACGTGGCGGCGGGGGCTCGACGCAGGCCGCTGGATAATCAGCATCGCCCAGGCTCCTGGGCCTCAGATGGCGCAGACGATCAAATTCAGCAACGATGGCACTGCATCATGGGCACCGCATGGTTCGTTCACATCCCACGCGTGCTTTGACCCCCCCCCCCGCTTGCGTACGCATCCATGGAATGGCCATCGCGTAAGGCCACGACAACCGCTAGTAAAAACGACGCTGTGCAGTTCGTGGTCGGCGACCCGCGCCAGAGTTGTGTCCACAGTGCTCCGCATGCCTGTCCCCGTGCGGGCCACACAGCTGCTGCTGCAGCAGCGGCCGTGTGTCTCATGCGCGGAGCTCTCCACCCTGCCGTCTCGGGCTCCTCTGACAGTATATCAGTCAGTTCACGTTGCCTGCAACCGATGCGGCTGGGCATTCACTCCATGACTCCGCCACCAACGAACCTCGCCTCACCAGCCTCACTGCCGAAACTTACCGCTAGAACAACTTGTTCGGTCTGGCCGCCCTCGAGACTCAGAGTGCTGGGAGCCCCCAAGGAGCTACGACTCGGAAGGTGCATGCGCCCGTTTGAAGTGCGCACGCATGGCACGTGCTGCCGATGGCTGCTGGCAGCACAGGGCTCAACCGCAGTGCGGTGCTTCGTAGTCGACCCTCCGCAGCGGGCCAGACACAATCTCATCCAGATGCCGATCCCTCCAATCGGAAAGTGCACGGTATCAACTCGAACCGGTGCTGAAGCGCGATCCTTGGCTGTGTGCTGGTGCCCTGGACCTCGCAGGCGATTCCCGACGGTCCCGATGCCCGCCGGGACTTCGCGGCGCGGACCGCCCAGAGCGCCAGAGGGCCCGTCGCCCCTCCGCCTCCAGAGCAGAAAGAAAGAAAGAGCAGTCGACGTGAACCAACACCTTGATCTGCCCCTTGGCTGGCGCTGCGCCCCTGGCCACAGCGGGGGGCAGCAGGGAATCCTGCACCATCCTGCAAGAGGAGGCACAGAGACGAGGCGGACGGGGAGGAGGGAGGAGGAAGGAGCGGAGGACCGCAATGGAGATGGACTAAGCGAGAGAGAGAGAGAGAGGGAGACCGATAGAGAGAGAGAGAGACATGTCAACAGTGTCAGAAAGGACAGAGGGCGAAAGAGAGGGATGCACAGATGAAGGGACGGAAGGGGGATACAGGGGCAGCCGAGGCGACAGGGGAGGAGAGGAAAGGACAGGAGAGGAGAAGAGAGGAGTGCGCACGAGGAGAAGAAAGCGAAGAGACACGAGCGGCCAGGGGAGGTGAGCAGAGGGGGGAGGACGAGCAATGGCCGCAAGCGAGGACAGCACCTCCGAGGGCGACGGGCTCCACGAGGGCCCGGAATGGCCCGCCGGCGCCCTCCGAGGTAGAGCGGTGAAGCGGGGCGCTAGCGCGGAGCGGGGCCGCTCCCAGATCCCGTGCAGCCTTTCGCCGTCCCTCGCCGGGTGCTTCTGCCGCTGCCACTCGTCCACCCCCTCCCGGACCTACGGTTAAGTCGGGCCTGCCCTCTACAGGAGGAGTATCCAAAAATGGTTCAAAAATCGTCTGGGGACCATTTTGTTCTATTATTTGTTTGCTGGTTTTGTTGAATGTGCCTAGACTATTTGTCAACTTTTGCATGCAATCCGCCTGTAGGAAACCGTGCCGATCATTCGGTGGCAAATCGTTGGCGCCTTGCGTGTCTTCGCAACTCCGCCTTCAGAGCGAGTCAGCGTGCGCTGGCGTTCGGTCAAATCGACGAGGCAGCGCAGATTTGGCGCCGATCGGCTTCGATTTTAGTGTCGATCAGCGTCGACGAGCGCCAATTCGCAAAATTATGATGTTCCAACCTACTTTAGGCGTTGATCACCAGAAAGAATGTCGAGCACCAAGAGAGTACCGAAACTGGAGGATTATACTCGTTCGACAATGTCTTGATATTTTCTGGGTGCTCGAAATTAATTATGGAATGCGGTCCTGAAGTACGATGGGAGCAACATAATCGCAAGAGCCAGCAAGAGGGTCTGGGAGGCCCCCATGATGTGCCACAGAACGATCTATAGGGAGCGGGCCTACAGCATGGCCCGCCTCGAGCCAGGGGACTCCGCGGAGGCCAAGTGCAGGGCGCAGAGTCCCAGCGACCGCCGACGTCAGGAGTTCTTGCCCCCCCCCCTGGATGGAGGGTTTCTCTGAATGGCTTAGGCGACCAGTCCTCCTCCTCTTTCTCTTTCCTCCCCTTTCTCCTCCTCCTCCTCCTCCTCTCCTCTCCTCCTCCTCCTCCTCCTCCTCCTCCCTCCCTCCTCCTCCATCTCCTCCTCTCTCCTCTTCCTCTCCATCTCCTCCTCCTCTCCTCCTCCTCTCCTCCTTCCTCCTCCTCCTCCTCCTCCCTCTCTCCTCTCCCCTCATCCTCTCCTCCTCCTCCTCCTCATCCTTCTCCTCCTCCTCCTCCTCCTCCTCCTCCTCCTCCTCCTCCTCCTCCTCCTCGGGTCGCCTACGGCCCCGGGGGAAGCCGTGCGCCCCTGGTTTGCGGGGGTGCTCGATGTACGTATGATTCCACCACGTCGTTTGGTCGGCCAGGGGCCCAAGCGGCTCGGCGCAGGAAGACGGTGCGATTTGCTGCAGTGGACCACAGGTTGGGCAGCTGGGGTTTCTGTACGACGAGCTCCTTTTAGCCGACCCCAACGGCGCAGTGCACACGTCGAGCCCCGCCCAAGATTGAGCAGGTCGGGTCAGGGCGTCGGAGGGGCTCGGCGCTGCTGCGGCCAATCACGCGGCCGCGGGCTCATGGCATGCGAGCGCTTTCGGAAAACTGAAGCAACTCTCGCGTCGCTCGGACACTGTTATTTTGGGGTCCGGCGATAACCCGGGTTATCGGGCTTGCCCCCCCCCCCTCCCCAGGACAACCTAACCTTGCCGGTTGTGCAGGTCTGGGGGGGGCGCGGGCATATGCAGGGCTGCCCACAGCGCGAAGGTTAGGTTATCGGCCGGCCCCTTCCTCCCCCCCCCCCCCGGGATAACACGGGTTATCGCCGATTCAAACGCAAAGTTCTCTTGTTGGTTTTCCAGCCCCTCCAGCGCCTCGCTGTGTATGTGTGCCGACTGTGTGTCCGCGCATCGCAAATAGGGCTTGCCTTCCGACTCCTGCCGCTGCTGTATTTGCCTTGGTGCCGCTGCCGCTGGCGCTGCTGCTCCAGATTCTTCGGCTCCTGCACCTGCTCGTGCTGCCCCTCGAGTTGCTGCTTCTCTTCCTGCTCCTGCTCTTTCCGCTTATGCTGCTGCTCCTACTTCCCCCTGTTCCGATGTGCCGCTCTCGGTCCCGCTTCCAGATTATCATGTTCCTGCACCCGCTAAGCTCTCGCTGCTCATGTTGGAGCTTGAAGCTCCTGCTTATTCCTCGCCTTCGCCTGCCACGACAGTTCCTACTGCTCTTGTTGCTGCTGCAATTCCTGCTGTCTCTGCTCCTGGCGCTGCTGCCAGGAGACCCGCTCCGCCTTCCCGCCCCTGCTTCACCCACCGCGCACCAAAGGTCACACGTACCCAGGGTCTCCTGTGTGTACAGTCGGACCGAGGGATAAGATCGAGGTCGGTTCGGTAAGGTATACTAGTGTTCTTCGTGTTTGTTGGATGCTCTTGTGCAGCCTATGAAGTGTACCCTTGGATGCTCTGCTTGTTTTGGCCGGCGGAGGTTCTCATGCTCTTATGGGATGTTTTTTCTGGCCTGGGTCCGACCGTACCCAGGGTTACTCCTGCCCCACTCACTCACTCATGCCATGCGCCAGAGCGTGTGGGCGCAGGAAGGCGGGGCCAGCCGATTCTCACCGCTTTGCAGGATCGGCGGCACGACGGCGGTCGCATGACTCACCACGTGCGCGGCAGGAGGAGGAGGAGGAGGAGGAGGAGGAGGAGGAGGAGGAGGAAGGAGGGGGGACAGCCAGCTGGAACGAATGGTACGAATCTCGCCTGGAACGCAAAAATGCAGCGCCGGAATCTCGGAGGCATCCGTTTTTGTTCCCGCGAGTGGCCCCGCCTCTTCCCCCTTGCGCGGCCGCCCGGTCCGTCCTCTCCCTCCTCCTGCACGCTGGCCAGTTCGCTTGTCGGTGCCTTCGTTCAGCTTTTATCGCTGGTGCAGCTAGTCTGCCTCGCCGCCGACGGAAAACATTTGTTCGTCCAGCGTTAAGTCGGGCCTGTCCCTCTACAGGCGGAAATAGTTAAAAAATAGTTAAGAAAATACTCAGGGGACGCTTTTTGAAATATTGTTTGACCAATGTGGAGTCTTTTTTTGACTATTCGATCGCTTCGCTCATTCGGCCGGCCCATAATGTCGCACCGTGGTCGCCTGTCCGAGTGGTCGTTTGCAGTGTGGAGCTGCGGCGTCGGGAGCTGTGTAGTGTTGGTTGGGGGCGTTCTTGGGGCCCTCTTGGGCCGTCCTGGAGGCCTCTGGGGCCGTCTTGGAGCCGTCCTGGGCCGTCTTGGGGCCCTTTTGAGGGCCTCTGGGGCCCCTCTTGGGCGCCTCTTGGGCCCTCTTGGGGCGATCTTGGAGGCCTCTTGAGCCGTTCAGGGGCGTCGGGGAACCGAAAAGGTTTAAACGTCCAAATCTGTCCAACACCAAAGGAAAAGCACAGGTTTTTGCCTCTTGGGGCCCTCTTGGGAGTTCTCTTGGAGGCCTCTTGGGGCATCTTGGAGGCTTGTTGGGTCATCTTGGAGACGTCTTGGGCCGTCTGGAGGCCATCTTGGGCGCCGTGGAGCGATCTTCGGGCGTCTCGGACCTCTCTTGGATTGTGTTGGGGGCCTCTTGGGGCCCTCTTGGGGCGATCCTGGAGGATCTGGGGGAGTGTCCCGGGCGTGTCCCGGGCGTGTCCCGGGCTCCGCCCGGGGTATTTTTGATCCAGGGACCCCCAGGGGCCGCCCCGCGCGCGCGAACTAGAAATACTGTTTACCAGTTACTGGAGATCTTAGCACGCCTCTGGCCCGTTGGGCCGGCGAATTTTTTAACTTCTCGTCCAAGATTCACCTGTGAGAGGACACTACCAGCCTGGAACGTATCCCTATCCCTTAGATTGACACGCCAAAAGCCGATGACAATCTCAGGGATTCGCCCTCAAAAAATAAAGGAATCCCTAAGATTGGCATCGTGATGAGGAGATGCCCAGCATAGGGATAGGGATATGTTCCAGGCTGGTAAGGACAGGGTCGACGTAAGTCCAGCGCCCCGCCCGAGACATCTTCAAAAGAGTCTGCGGCTCGGGGAGTTATCGGCGGGGACTGCCCCGGCGGGAGGCGGCGCCCCGCCCAGGCTCTCAGGTGTGGTGCCGCTCCGGAGCAGCACCACTGCTACGCCTAAGTCGGGCGTGTCCTTCTATAGGAGGAGTATTCAAACATAGTTAAAGAATAGTATGGGGACGAATTGTGGAGCATTTTTCGACGACGCTCGAGAATGTTGAAAGTATTTTTTATTTTTCCGCCCAAAGCCCGCCTGTAGAGGGGGACGTGCCCGACCTAAAACTAAGCCCAATGACCCACAAGGCAGGGTGAACCACCCCGACCCCGACAGCTGGCGTTTACGAGACGGCCCGGAGCGTTGACGAGACGGTCCTTCCCTGTGCGATTCCTTCCAGGGGTGCGTTTATTATACGGCTTCGCTTGTCGGGGTGCTTATTCTGGAGGTGGTTTATCTGTTTTCAAGACGCGGCCTCACTCAGGTCCCGTCTTTGCACTAGGGGTGCTAACTCTGGGCGGTTCGGTTTGGCAGATCTGCAAAACGACCCCCTATCCGAATGTTTTTGGCATCGCTCGGACATGTGTGTGTGTGTGTGTTTTTCCTCGGCTTGGACCATCGAGGAGCATGTGAGGCCATCTCGCGAAAAGCACACGCGCGAACTCCAGAAATGTACGGGGAATGGACGTCTGAGCGATGGCGAGTCAGAGATCTTCGAATCTCGATCCGCTGTGGGAGACCTGCTCCCAGACCTGTCCAGAGGTGTGTCCTCACCAGAGCGTCGAGGCTGATCCAGCAAAACGGGAGTCGCAAAAAGACAGAAAACGCAGCATGAAACCCTCGACCCCCGATCCTCGGAATTTCAAAACTCAGGGTCGGCAGCCCCTGCTGACTGAGAATGATGTTTCAGGGTCCAGCGATAAGCCAGGATAAGCCGGGTTATCGGGCCCGCCCGCCCGCCCCCCCCCACCCACCCCGCGGATAACCTGGTGCCCAGTCGTGGTGCGCGCGTGTACACGTGGGGCTGCCCAACGCGAAAAGGGAAGGTTATTCACCATCGGTCGTTGAATGTAAGTATTTTTGGGTCCCCACGTCGAGATTTACTGAAGGCGCATTCCTATTTCAAGGGTCGAGTGACTGCCCCCTCACTGTTCGTCTTTAGGGGGCGGGCTGCTATCCAATCTACTTCCAACGCCTTTTTTCTTCCCGGCAGCGAGCGAGGGGGAAAGTGAGAAGAGGCAGCCCTTTTCAGAAAACTCAGAAGTCCCTAAGCCTTTCTGAGAAGTTTTCAACGCCGGTC